ACATGGATTTTTTTTTTTAAAAAAAGAGTTTGGAGTGGGTGTGGATTAATTGAGAATGGAGAAGTGGAGTTTGGTGGTAATTTTGAAGGGGTGGAGACCGACTAGCTGGTTGGAGAAGGAGAGGAAGAAGAAAATAAAAAAGAAGAAGAAGAGAGGGGTTTAATTAGGGATTAAAAAATAGGACGGAAGCGATCTCGTCAACGATCCGTTGCTAATTGATGATGAATACTTATATCTATTGCTAATCTTTCGTAAAATAGGCAACTAATTACTTACAATTGGCCAACAATTTTTTTTACATGTAACGACGAGACTTTGACATCATCGCTAATCCATCATTAATTGAACGATTTTTGAATTTCAAAAGTTCGCCTAATTTTTCACCTTTAACAACGACTTATTCTGTCGGTAATTTGTGAAGGATATTTCTTTTAGCAATAGAATATCCATTCACAAAATCTAGACATTAAAAGTAGTGATGGATTGACAATTCCATCACTATTTTTCCTTACAAATTTGTCTCTAAAACTCCCGGGAATATTTTGTTGTCAAATTTAGCGACAAATTGGTGTCCGTCACTAACAAACCGTTATGAGACCATTGCTATTTCATCGTTGTTTCTAACATATATTATTCAGTCGCTATTTGCTCATTATATAACGACTGATTAATATCCGTCGCTATTTGATGACTTTTTTATAATATCATAACTTAATTATAAGTGAAAAAAAATACAATTAATTTATGAATTACGTTCCAAAAATACTACTCATTCATCTAAGCTTCTGTGATGAATCTTGAATCAAAACTAAATCTGTTCTGATGTTTTCATTTGGCTGGTCAAGGTTATGTTTTCTGCTTTTTTCTATCTCCCTTGTACTTTCTTTTTCTCATTGTGGGCGTTTTTTTATCCCTTGATGTCTTTTTTAACGTATTAAAAAACTAATTAGAAAACATCGGAATCAAGAAGATAATTATAATATAATAGTAATAATAATAATTATCTTTCTCAAAATAATAATAGTTAATAATAATAATAATTTGTGGACGAGAAATTATTGGGTAGGTGTATTTTCAGAAGTCAACGACCCAAATATTGGCTAATTGCTTGTTTTAACCAAATGGAGAAATAGAGGAAGGAAAACTCTTTTTCCTTTTGTTTTGATAAAATGCAGTCGATTTATAGAATACAGACCAAGCAACAGTTTGTTTGCATATAATAACTATGGAATATAATATAATTGAAACAGCTTTCAAGGGGCACTTTTATCTGGCGCTGCTTCCAAGCTAACATCTTCTAATCGTTGATCTATCTTAATTCCTTCCTCGCGAGAGGTCAACCAAATTTTCTCTTCTGACCTAGCGACAATCTGTTTGCATGGATACATAAAATCGACAGTCCAATTGATTTGATGTGGAACTTAAAACGGATTATGGTTGGTAATCCAACTTAACTTCACATTAAAAAGGCAAAAAGAAAAAGAAAACTATAATAATGGGAGCATTAGTTAATCAATCACAATTAATTGAACTAAAAGTGAGGGCGTAATTGATAAGAATTGAAACTACTAAGCACCAAAGTGAAATAGAAGAAAACAATACAGGACCGAATATTGAGAGAACCACCCGTCGTTCTCTTCAACCCGGAGTCAATCCTCCCGTACTGTTCATCGTCTTCCACCGAAGATGACAAATTCATCCGATGATAAAAACCTCTGGCTGGCATTCGTAACAGCATGGAATCGCGCCTCGCACCACTCACCTGCACCACGGGCACCGCTGCACCATCACTACAATCCACAGCACTGCACACGCTGTGTTTTCAATTTCAAAATTCACTCTGTACACAAGATGCCAAGAACACCAGAAGCCTGTTCTTTAGCTTTAGCAAATGAGGGTCCTGATCGTTTGCAAAGGGTCCGAGGGTGGAAATCCAGTGCAATGGGGCTATAAATTGTGCCCCATTGCAGGGTTAACATGGGAATTTTTGGGGGTTTTGAGGTAAAAAAGAAATTGAATTTTTGAAGAGTTTCTAGGTTTAATAAGAATAGTCTGGGTTCCTATTCTTCTGGGTTTTGAAAGCTTGAATCCACTGGTTTATTCCATTCCAGTTCCAGGAAAACAATCCATTGGTATCTTGGGCCACAAAACCATCGACAGTTCCAGTCTCTCCATCTTCAAATACCTGTACAAAGCACAGCAATCACAACATACCCAAGTTCCAATTCTCTCAATTCTGTTCAGTTCTTCAGTCCCGATCAAGTAATTTAAGTTCATTTGTTTGTTTATTCATCCTTTTTAATACTTAAGTTTTAACTTGTCCATTTTCAAAAGATTTGTAGGAGTGAAATGAGAGTGATACTGTCACTGCCATTGGCGAGCCCTTCTTGCTCAACCTCCTTAGTTAGGTAGAGGGAGTCTTAGTTTTGCAGTAGTTTGGCTAATGTTGCTTCCTGTGATTGAAGCTTTTGGGTAAGAGAAGAATAGCGGTGAAAGAAGGAAATTTGGGGAAACCTGGGTATGTGGACATTTTGTCCAGGAAGAACACGAAGAAGATGCTTGGTTTCAGTTGAAAGGTTTAGGGGTTTTATGGTTGGGTTTTGTTTCGGATTGGTGAAACAAAGAAAAGGGAGAGGCTGGGTTTAGGCAAAAGAGGGCTGGGCTTTGCCTAGCTCGTTGTAAAAGAGGCATGAGCTAGCATCAGCCCAGCCCGTGCATCCAAGAGGGTGGGCTCGTCAGCCTAGCGGGCCTGCTCAACAGGCATGGCCCAAGAGCCGAAATTTCACTAGGCCTAAAAGGTCCAATAACCTTAATTTTAGCCATTTTTCTTAGTAAATTAATTCTGAAATATTTCAAATGGTATCAAACTGCCTCTCTAGAAAGCCCAAAGGCAATTTGAGTCTTCGCTAAAATACTTGTCAAAGACACAAGAAGGCTACTGATATACCTACATGATCACGATCATGATACATTCCTCTACTCCTTTCAAAGACTATATGGACAAGACTTTCTTATAAGAAAGGATGATTCTAGTCAACCATTAAGGTGTCTTATAGCCAAGTAAAGCCAGAATAACCAATGCAAGCAAATAATCCAAATAAGGAAAGCACCTTCCCACTTGATCAAACAAAAAGAACATACATTTAAATAAAGTGTGGCCTTTTTAGATGTTTTTGTCACATCACCACTAAATGTGATTGGATATACATGGTTGAATAACATCATTCATCTTAAATTAATAAATGGAAGTGAGAAGCTACTAAACACATATAAAGAAACTAATTTATCTCCCATTCTATCTAAACTGATCACTTTCGTGATGATAACAAGATCCATATCTCGTCAACATAATTTCACCATCAACAATTAATACTATTAATGATGGGTTAAGTGAAAAACATGTTAGAGTACAAAGGTAAATAATTAATTAAGTCATAATTGACAATTTAACCTTCACTTTTAACCAACTTATATTTATTTATAATTCATGAATATTAATCATGACTTACAGAGGACTAGTGCATATCAGAACATGTACTCCTTAAGAGTATTGGCCCTCTGGGACCTCCCACGTGATGCAAATAGCTTTTGATAGAGTTCTATATATTTTTTGCATCTTTAAGCATAAAATTCATGTTTATTCTTAGTTAACTCGGGAACTATTATTGTTGGATTTTGTATTTATCAAAAAAAAAAAAAAAAAAGTGGGACTTTGTAGCGCTATAGCAAATACCATAAAAGAGCAAAAATATTTGAAGAAAAAACTAAGGAACATTTATAAAACCAACCTCTTTTCTCTAACTGATGGAAGAGAAAATTTAGTCCATATGTTTTAATTTTCATCAATTTAGTCTATTAATGAAGTGTAATCTAACTCCACCTAACAAAAATTTTGGAAATAAGCTCAAGGGAATAATTATTTTGTCTTATCATATGGTTTTTCTAAGTCATGTTTTTCAGCTCTATTTGTTTTTTACGAATTGCTTGTTGATAGCTTAATTAGGGATAAAGATCGACAAGAATAACCTAGTTACCGAATACGATACTCATGTTATAGAGAGATTATTTATGGCAAAAATGCCAATTTTTATTTTTTTTATGCCAGCACTTTGCTTCGGCCTTGCTAATCTTGATAGGGCAGGATTAGGAGAAATTTTATATTATTGAAGAATTAGCACACGATGTGTGTTCGTAATCCCATGCTGTGATATAATTAATTTGGGACATTGGTCGTCTATGAGAACACCTTTGGCTAACATTTCGAGACATAATAACTGATTTGTTGTCTTAATATAATGTATTTTTAGTTTATAAAGTTTCATGCACCGGGGGATCCTAGGAGAGACAAGGAGAGCCGTAGCCCCCAAGTGTTGAATAACATTACACTTTAGTCCTTATACGTTTAGAAGTTTCATTTATTTTTAGCGTAGAACAAATTTATTTAATTAGTCCCCAACCTACTCACATTCCTTCTACTCACCTATACTTACTCATAAAAGAGTTCCCCTACTCATCACCATTTTATCAATTGGGTCTCTAATGTATTTTATCGATTGAGTCCCAAGAATATCCAGAATTCCTCAATTGAGTTATTCCACCTAAAATCATTTTAAATTTTGACATATTATGTTAATCTTTCTGATAAATGGAATCATTTTATTTCGTATAATGGTTACTTTGTATGGAAAATATTAATGGATTTGACTAGGAGATGTACTTGAGAAATTCGGATACACGTTAGTCCCAATTGAGGAAAAAATTTCCTTTCAGATGCAAGTGAGAATTAGTGTATGGGCTAGGCACTTATCTAAGGTTGCCTCTACATGTGGATCCAACAAAACCCAAAACTTATGGGTTATTTCTATTACTGGGCTAATCGAATTGTGAGTACTTAATTATTTATATTTTCTATTGCATAGCTTAACAAATGATAATACAACTTTCTCATTAAAAGAAATAGTCATTATTCTCATCAAAACAAGCAGAATGCTTGGCATTTCCTAATGCAAAACATTAGTAACAGAAGCTTGTATTTCTTCTAGTGACCGTCCTTTGGTCTCAGGGACCAGCTTTACAATGAATAAGAAACCAAATGCAGAAACACCAGCAAATATGATGAATGTTCCTGAACAATGCAAAAGGAAAGAAAACAATCATTTACAATCATTGAAACTGAGGCTGAAATAAAGATACAAGAGAAAGGGAAAAGGAGGCTGGCATCACCTGTAGAACTCCATTCCAATAGAAAGTTAAAGGTGTAAGAAACAACCCAACTACAGGACCAATTTATCAAATTGCAAAGGCTTCCAGCTGAACCCTTCACATTTATTGGGAATATCTGAAATTGATCACACCATTATTTCTTTCAGTATAATCTATACAATTTATCTTTTGAGTGTTAGGAAGATCTAGCCTGGGATAAGTTTTACTACCTCGGACGTTATAATCCATGGTATTCCTGCAATGCCTAGATTGAAAGAAACGAAGTAAACCTGGTAACAAGATCATACAACAAATGAGACCAACTACGTTGAGAGAATTTTTGGAAAAAAAGGGGAATTCTAGAGTGGAAACTTGAAGTTTTGAACTAAAATAAACTCATCATTACCGACACTCCTGTGAGCGCTAAAACGGATATCCAAGAGTGAAGGTCCTGCATACATGCTCAAATGATATGATCGTCAGAAAAAAAAAATCATTACTAAAATTGAATAAATGTAGTTCTAATACTAAAAGAGTGGTTGAGAAACCTGGAACAAGAATGACAATCCTGTAAGCAAGGAACCCAAGCAAGTTCCAGCTGCAGAAACCTGCAAGAAGTTTTATGATTTAGTTTCCTCCGGAGTCAGCTATGATTTAAGTTTTAATGATCTTATTCTAGACCAAACCATCAAAAGCGTCCTCCTTCCGAATTTGTCAATTAAGAATATAGCGGAAGTGGTTGACAGAATCTGCAAGAGAAAATATTTTATATTTGAGAGATGGAAATATTCACCGATGTTGCATTAAAACGAAATTTGTTTGGACATAACCTTTACGATGGCCAAAGCTGCATATCCAACTTTAGTTGAAATATCTGTCAGAAAGAAAGGCTGAAGCAATTAAATAAATAAGTTACTATCTTCATATATTTTTTCTGTTTTTTTTCCCCTTTACGTGTAGCATTGGCATGATCACTTACCAGCCAAAACAAAAATATTAGTCAAGTAAAATGTATAGCCACTTAACCCTGAAAATTGTGTTAGTATCATCAGCCCAGCTGCAACCTATACCATCAATAAATCATTATGGTTCGATAAATCATGTAGCAAAATGAAATTGTCACTTGAAAAGTTTGTAGCTCACAATGATTGGTCCAGCATACTTCTTCTGAAACAAGTCCCAAATTTTATTTTCGGAGAGAAGCTGAATACATTCTGCATATTCCTGTGAAATAAAAAGATAGCATAGCAGTTGTAGTCTCTACTCCGAAAAAGATCAAGGAAAGGAAAAGAGTTGAAATAATATAAGAAGCATAGTTCTGAAAATTTACTTCTTATGAGGGGAAAAATATAATGCAAACCATTGAATTTCAAAACGAACCATAATTAGATTTCTATTTTGGAATAGAAAAGTTTCAATTACAATTGATCATACATTTAACTTCAAATTCAGAAATTACTTTTATCTCAGCTGCTTCTTGAGAAATGTCAACCTTCGTTCCTCTAAGATGCTGCAAAACTGCTTCAAACTCTTTTTCACGACCATTCTTTACCTGCATATAGGTCATCGTTCAACTACCATTAAAACACACATTACTACACAATATGGATATTATCGGACTTACTAGCCATCTGGGGGACTCTGGGATGAAGAATACACAAAGAGTCTGTAGGAGACATGGAATACATCCTGAGAAATTTAAAATCATAATGAGACTGTCATGGAATTAGCTACGACCTTCAGATCATACTCTCAGTATTACACAAGACTAGAATCTTATTACTATGAAATTAACACAATGATGCTACCTATTAGAGCCAGTCCACGCCATTTTACAACCGAACCAATAAGATATGCAATTGCTACACCAGAACTTTTCATAAACTGCACAACAAATAGTATAAAGGCAAATATGTAAACAAACATACATATCATATATAGATATTAGAACAAAATTTAGAAAAGTAAAATGTACCGCATTGGTTGTCATTAGTCCTCCTCTAAGGTTCTTGGGAGCTATTTCTGCAATAAAGACATTCCCCTGTAGACAACAGAACTTAGACTCCCACATCTTTTTTCATAGTAAATGTACTAAATACAAAAAATTAAAGCATGTACCACATAAGAAGCAAGAGCAATTCCGATTCCTTGCAGCAGTCTTCCAAGGTCGAGCAACCAACAAACCTATCACCATCCACTGAACAATTTAACATTACAAATCTAGAACTTTACACTATACATACAGCATTCCAGTTTAGTAATCCTACACAATTTAATACAGGTTGCTGAAAGCAGAAATATTCAACCACATTAAATTCCACCCTAACATGTTTCTAGAGTAAATATGTACTTAAATTTAAGCTGAGTATAGGAGATACAAAACCTTGGTGAAGGCTATTGCAATCCACCCTAAGATGAAGAAGACATCGATGATCCACATCATCTGTTTCACAGGATTGGTAAACATTATGAGCTCAAGAGTTGAAAGGGAGTCAATAAACTAGGCCTTTTTGCAAATTTTGACAAACACTCACGGTTCGACGGCCAAAAAAATCGGCAATCTTCCCATTTATCAATGCACCGATCATTCCTCCAACAGCCAACATCGAACCAAAAACTGAGTACTGCATGTTATAAGTGAAAAGGAAAGTGAACAAAACAATGTGGTCTACCCTAGTTGAGTAACTGAGTGCTGCATGATCAAATCGACTACTTTTTCTTTTTCCTTTTCCTTTTTCGATCGAGGGAATATTGAAGGGCAGATATCTTACCTCCGCCATAGAGAGGCTCAAATCAGCTAAGACTCCATATTCTGCAGGCGACGAATATCCAAGCTGGGAAAAAAATATAAAAACAGAATGTTATTAGAACTCGTGTGCAACTAAAATATTTAAGCTTATAGATGGACAATCAAGTTGATCGATGACTTGGTTACCAAGTATCCAAATTGATCAATTTATTACTAGGAAAAATAAATATCACCAATTATAAGTAAATCAATGAAGTCAAAATATCATTAAAATGTAATCACATTTTTTAAGCCAGGTATGCAGCTAAAATGGAATTGGATCCTTAACCGTTAGATTTTGTCCGTGTTGATCTTTTTCATCCAAACTATAGAAGATATACACCAGTTCCATACTTGGTGGCTGAAATGGATTCCACATATTTGTTATATAACCTAATTTAGCAACAAAATTGTAAAGAAATGGATGGAGGGATGTAATTTAACACAATTATGAAAAGTTGAGTACCCAAATGCTCATGTTAAACGAAAGGATTCAATGTGACATAAGTACTAAATCATAGGAACGAGTACCACCAATATTAAACCTCTTTTTTCTTCACTGAAATTTGCAACAAACTCCTTTGTTGTTAAACCATGATGATGAAATAGTAATATCAAATATGAGTATAAATTCAGAATCTGAGAGATAAGAGAAAAGGGCGTACAGAATAGCCAGAAGTGAAAGAACACGTAGCTGCAACAATGGTGCTAAAAACAAGAAAGCACGTGGCAGGAGAGCTACCATTAACACCAATATTCAAACTCCTGCTACATTTAAGAGGGTCTTCTTCATCATCAACTAGCAGAGCCCTTCTTGCTTGTTCTGATCCGCCCATGTCTTGTTGTTGATAATTAGTGGACAGAATGGGAGCAAGAACAAGAAAAGAGTTTCAAAGGAGGGACACTGGCCAAATTATTCTTCTCAGGAAAGGCACGTTCACGAAGAGCAAACAAATGTAAAATAATCCAAGTGGTCCATCTATTTATCATGTAGTAATGAACCTGCCTCCAATCAGTTCACCACCTTTAAATATCAACGGCGTACACCCCACACACACACACACACACACATATGGAGTCAATTTATAACAAACAGAGTACGATAGTGTTTGATAAGACTAAAAATTAAGTACTAAATCTATTTTGATATTTGTTGAAAATTAAGTGTTGAATACAATAAAGTTATTTGATAAATACTATTGTTGAACATATTAAGAATATATACATGACAATTTTAACACAAATAAAGATATATACGTAGATGTTTTTGTGTATAAATAAATAAATAAAAATTCAATAAAAATGATTGTTGATAAAAAAGATACAATACGGTCTCGGATAATATTAGTTGTCGTATCATGTATAAAATAAATAATGAAATCTCAAGTACTAATAAATTTATTTGTAATTTGATCTTGCAAATTAATTATAAATGTTTGATCGGCTCGTGCTTGTGTCCTTCCTCCAATGAATGTTAAACTTGTAGGAACATTTAATGTTTGATACATCACATAATCACTATCCAATTGTTAAAAAAAAACTATCGGTAACAATTGTTCTTCAAAGATAATTATGTATTGCAACACATGCAACAACAATATCTCTTTGAACTACAAATGGATATGGAGTCATTGTCTTTAGAATTGAAAACCTTTCTTTTAGAACCCCAAAGTCTCATTCAATAATATTCCTTAATTTTACATATGCATGAGTAAATGCTTCTTCTTTTGATCTTGAATCAATAATATTCCTTAATAATATTCCTCAATAATATTCCTTAATTATGAGTCACGCATAATTTTTGTTAATACTCTTGAATCATGTGCTACATCTTCCCATCCGACCCAAACAAAAATAAAAATCATATAAAAATAACATATTGCAAGAACATTTTGATAGCAATCTTTTCGTTCTCTTCCTCTATGGACTTGTTCATTAGGTGATATAATAGCACAAATTATAGTCCCATTAAGGTAGGGTTGGCAATTTGCCCCATCCCCTCGACCTCGATCAACTCGAGGATTCCCCGAGTTGATCGGGGAACGGGCGGGGTGCCCCGTCCCGATCAATTCGAAGATTCCCGAGTTGATTGGGGAACGGGGTAGGGTGACCCGCCCCACCCCCTCTCGGCATGTTTCCCTTGGTTTTATTGTTTTTCATATGATATAATAGCACGAATTAAAGTCCCATTAAGGTAGGGATGGCCGTTTTCTCCGATCCGACGAAGCCCGGCCCGCCCGGCCCCGATCAACGTGAGGATGCCCCGAGTTGAGTCGGGAATAGGGCGGGGCCCCTCGCCCCGTATTTGTTTTGAACAGAGATGATGCAAGGATGGTATTTGCATGTCTCGCCCTGTTTGCCCCGCTTCGTTCTTGAAATTACAATTATACCTTGTATAAAATATGTGATTACTAATTCTTAAGGTTTATTTCCATATGAATTATTTTTTTTTACTATAGTTTGAAATTTGATAGTAAAATGGGATAAGACAAGGCGAGAAAAAAAATTAAATGGGATACCGATACCCTGTGGGGATCCGCATGCCTATTTGAGGCGGAGATGGTATGATAAATATTGCCTTGCTCGAGGCACGAGGCGGAGATAGGGCAAAATTTTCAAGGGCGAGGCAAGGATGGCCCATTGCCATTCCTACATCAAGAGCACCTACGAGCACCACGTAAATAAATAAATAAAAATTAGTTAATTTTAAAATACACAAACTAATAAAATTAGTACCTTTTTTTTAGAAAAAAAATTAATTAAGCTTTTTTTGTTGTAAAAACTAATTATTTAATCTTTATTTTTTAAAATTTTCTTGTAGCTTAATCCTCTTTGTTCTTTTTCAATTCATTTTTATTTTTGAAGAAATAATAACAAAAAAAGAAAAGTTATAAAATATAAAAGAATTAATGAGAAAGATGACATTTATATATATATATATATATATATATATATATATATATATATATATATATATATATATATATAAATTAATTTAAGTGTGGTCATTATGAAACTAAATTTTTTTTTAAAAAAAAATTTCATTTATTCCTAAAAAATATAGTGATTAATTTATAAGTTACTCTATAATTAATTAAGTTAAATAATTTCCTACCTCCCAAAGGAATTTTATGCTTTCCTTAGTTCGTACTCTTTTTAACTCTCTGGTACAATAATCTTCGTCTACCTAAATATGTGCAATTAAATTTTTTAGCGTGCTAGTTTTGTAGAGTAAATTATAAATCAATCCTTCTAGTTTAGAAAAATTTATTGATTAATCTTTCTTATTTTGAAAAATAATTATTTAGTTTTTATATTTTTAAACTTTATTAACTTAATGCTTTTTGTATTTTTTTCAATTTATTTTATTTTTTCTAAAATAAAAAATAAGAAAAAAAACATTAAATAATTGATAAAAAATGATTTTTTAAAATAAAAATATATTAAATTAAACCTGAGCAATAATTAAATATTAAATTATATTCATAGGTTCTGCTGGCTCGGTTTGCAATATGAATATGTCGTACTTCTGAGTTCTGATGTTTGTACTACTAACTGGTGGATTGGTCCTTGTACTGTTGGTTTTGGTTCAATCAGTCCCTCGTACGTTTATTTTGGTTTGCTTTGGTGCAACCAGCATATATTATATGTTATTGATTTTTCTATGAATCGAGAGATGCTTCGGCTTCTTTTCGATGCAAGCTCTTGCTCTGAATAGAAAGAAAGGGTTCATATTATTTGTCTTTTGCCCTGCTTTTTCTACAATTATAAAAAAATAAGTCAACCACCATAATCAACAATTGATTCTCAATATGTATTTTGCTAATCCACACCTTATTTATTAGATTCGGACTTCACGTGTGTGCCTAATTTCTCTTAGCTAACTAAAAACCAAGGTTAATATTTTCCTAAATTTATTAAGGTGTTAATTCTTCCAGAGGGGGCTTGGTTTAGATTTTCTTGAATTAAATAAGGATCATCGAATAAGATACGAAAAGGATGGCACCTGTGTTTCGTCCACGGCAAAACCTTTTTCATTCCATCACAAGAAAACAAAATTCCATTTCTTATGTGATTTCACCTGTTCTCATAGCCGTTGCCCGTATTTGCACCCAAAAATATAAAAAAAATTCCAAGAGGAACAGAATAAGATAATTTGGTCTTGATTTTATCTTTTTTTTATCGAAATGATTCTTATTGAAATACAAAAAAAAAATTCAAAATAGTGTTTTTTTTCATTTTAGTAAAAAATATTTTGGTTAAAAAAATTATCTATGGTAAAAAGAATTGATGAAAAGAACATTTGGAGACTAAACCAATATTAAAAAAATATAATAAAACAATGGTCAAACAAATTCACACTAACATAAATTCGGCACATAGTGATGTATTTTTTCGTCTCTATATCGTAAAAATTTGTCTCTATATACAATTTGCGACAAATTGGAAACAATATAAATTACGTCGTTAATATGAATGTCGCTATTTCCTTAGCGATGAAAATTTTTTTCTTCGTCGCTAATTTGTAGAATTATGGTTGCTAAATCGATATAAAACATGCATCTACCGAGTCTTATATCCGTCGTAAATCCATCGTTATTTAGAGATAGAATGGGTGTTGCTAAATTATCGTCACTCGCAATTCCATCACTAAATCGTCGCTATTTAGCAACCATATATGTCTATGTCGCTAAATATCTTCGCTAATTTGTAGAATTATTGTCGCTAAACGAAGAAATTTTTAATTTTTTAAAATTAATAGTCGTATATTGTTAATAGTGATAGTAAACAATTGTAAACGATACCTTATTAAAACATGATATATTATGTAATAAAATTAAAATAATAAAATTTGAAATAAAATAAATATATAAATGCATTAAGGTGTACGAAAAAATTGAAAAAATAAAAGAAAATCTAATCTTCATCATCATCATCATCTTTCGATTGCTTAGGTGTTAAGAGGAATGGTTGACTCTTGGATTATAGGATCAATAGGAGAGACACGAGTCTGCTTGTAGGTTTTCTAACAACTCTATCACTATTTGCATTTGACTTTGTAAAATGCTGAATTGATTGGCCTATTCCTAGATGGTAGCCTTCATCCCCTTTATCCTATCTTCGTACTAGGCGAAAACCTCTTGGATATTACCACTAGGATATTATGAAATGGTAGAAGAGGAGCTTATGCCAAAATGTGAGTAATATTGGCACTCTTGTAATCTAAAGTCGTACACTCTCTCGCTTCTTCTCCCGTCTTATAACATTCAAATATATCTTGAACATGTCGATAGTTGGAGATGATGAATCACCCTCATACTACTCCTTAGTGATCGTTTCTTGTATTGAATGCATGTCTTGCTATGTTATTCAAATAATTATAATATTAAATTATAAATATATTTTTTAGATTATGTTAGTAGATATATATATTTTATAATAAAAAAAAACTTATTATTATTGTACTGCGATCGCTTGTCGACAAATGACTCATATTTTTCATTCGTAAGTGATCATGAACGAGTCATAAGGATTTCGGTTACGACTCAATTTATTATGCTGAAAAAAATAGACAAAATAATATGAGTATCCAATAAATATAAAAAAAATATATAAGACAATGGATAATATAATGTTTATCAAACGTTCGATGTGCTCGGTAAAAAAAGATGGACCCTTTAGTATGCTTGGATGGGCTAGCACCAACACCACCCATCTCCAATAAGCGGTTCCAAAATGCATGTTGAGATAGGACCTAATACTCGGGAGTGGCCTAAGTACGGTGTCATGCTTCCCACACTTGCTCGTTTAACAAGCATCGGTATATTAGTCTTAT